TCTTTTCTTCATAATCCTGTAATTTCCTTGATCAGACATTTTATAATTATTACAGTAACAGTAATTCAAAACTTTGATCGTATGTATATAATAACTAGATAGGGAACTCCCTGATTCACAAGGGGTGATTTCTGCTTTCTATTTGTATGCCTGTTGTACCTACTCTATTCATGAATGCTTGATTCTGATAAGAAGCAATACTGAGGGCGACATCAGAGAGACATTTCGTAATGTCTTCGACTGATTCAAATCTTCGCAACGGTAGATACTCGACTATGAAGGTATTACACCAAACACTTAACACGAATTGGGTTACTTCCCTTCTTGGAGTTACATAATCTTGTTTCTCCAGAGACGATTTTTTTTGTTACCTGCCATTGATCGGTCGGTTCTATGGCGAGGATGTGCATAAGGTGTCTTGGCATGAGACCAACTGTAAACGAACGTCAATAATGACCCAGTTCCACTGTGTCGTGCCTTTAGACACAGCTATTCACTTCTCATTTCTCATACATGCTCCAACCGTCTGATGCCGACACGGCTCTTAAAATATAATAAATAAATCTTTCTAGATTATTACACTCTTGCTTTCAGTGTTATCCTATTTTGAAACTTGGCAGGTCGATCGTGGAGATCACCGTCGTATCTTTGAGGATCATTAATTATATTGGTGACGTAAACGTATTTTGCACCTTTGCATGTTACTAACACCTTCGTATGTATAACTGCTTTTGCAACTGGTGGTTATCGAAATTAATTGTGATGAGAGCGAGGTGTATAATCAATAAAGAATTTCTAACAGTCCCTGATGCAAAATAATAAGTCAAGTGCAGAACAAAGTGTCATTTTCAATAATCCATGAAATAAAATAAAATTTGCAATAAAAAAAATTGACATTGATCGAATCTGGACGTCTGGTTTTACGTCTTTCACCTTTTTACTGTTAAAGTGCGTTAAGGGGCTCGAGTACGATTCCCGGCAGAGGAGTGACAGTAGCAACAATATTAATTTTTAAGTTATTTAAGTGGATGAAATTAATTCACTAATACATCGAATTAACGCTACAAAAATTAAAAGTATTTCAATTTTGATAGTGTTTTTGAAAATTGATTTTGTAGAAGACTTTATGGAGTTGTTTAGTGTTATGACAATATTGTGTACCTATTAAATAATTCCTTGCACTATGTAACATATTATTTGTAGGAATTTGCGCATTGTGTCACCAAAGAAAGTGTAGAAAGTCAATATTTGTACGTTTATCGTCTTTAGCCGAAAGTCAATAGAAACCGTCACACAGTAAATAAACCGAAGGAAGTCGACGTGGAATGTATTAAGCAAAAACTTACTTGCATATAATAACATGCATCTTACTACTTGGCGATACAATTGTTCACTCAAATTTACGCGAGATGCAACAAAAGGCTTGCAACTGTTAAACAAATTAATTTGTATGCAAGTAAATTGCTCGCCGAACGTACTTCCTTAAAACTTAAAATTAATTAATAACGAAACATTAACGTTAACTTTGAAATAAATCTTTATTTACGAGGGCGGTTCAATAAGTACCCGTGTTTGAAGACAGAGGACGTTTCTGAGGGAAATAGGTGTTGTCATCGTGTGCTGCCATCTATCAAACCACGCCAAAAACTAATTTCAGACTGATTGATAGGTTAGTTTTGATTTGGCAGCCATTCGACTGAGACTCGTTCGGTAACTCGCTTTTTGTTTTTGGATGGGAAAAAATGCGAGGAGATAAAAACAAAATTGGATACTGTTTATGGAGACATTTCGCCATCTACGACCACAGTTAGATATTGCTTCAACGAATTTAAACGTGGGCAAAGATCCGTTTTTGATAGGAGCGACCAGGAAGCCTGACAAACGTTGTTACCGAGGAAATCATTTTACGGATTTTTTAGGAAAAGGAAGAACGATCACTGGACAATACTACAGTGAATTATTGGACCGTTTCGACAAAAAATTGAAGGAGACACGGACGCATTTGACGAAAAAGAAGGTCCGTTTTCAACACGATAACGCACCGGCACATTCATCAGGAGTTGTTGCCGCCAAACTGCACGAATTACGTTATGAACTGCTGTCGCACACCCCGTACTTACTCGATTTGACTCCCTGTAACTACGTCTTGTTCCCTACCATGAAGAAATGACTCGCGAGAAAAAAATTTAGCTCAAACGAGGAAGTCATCGCCGAGACAGGGGGATTTTGGAGAGTTCGACAAATCTTATTTTTTGGAGAGGTTAAAAAAATGGTAGGGACGTTGGGAGAAGTGTATCTTTCTAAAAGAGGACTATGTTGATAAATAAAACCAAAAAAATAAAAAAAAGAAGTGTCTTCATTTCTAACACGGGTACTTATTGAACCGCCCTCGTATATATTCTTATCTGAGATCAGGCACCATTTAAAGTGAGGTGATTTTGGCTTGGTGCAATCGAGTTAGATACTGGAACATATTTTGATTGATTTTGACACAAATGGAACTGTAAATTTTTTGTTACTCGTTGAATTTTATAAAAGATAAAGGTGATCTGATTGTGAGTTTACTTCAAACCACATCCAATCATGATGGATCTTGTGACCTGCGGTCTGGGCATAGCTTGAGCATTTTTTATTTGAAACCTCAAAAAAATAATCGTGGCGAAGCAATTTCGAACAATAAAGGAGCCCCTGCAAGCATCTAGAAGGACCTACAAAATAATTATTCAATATTCATTGGTTTCTTGATGGAACCCTATTTTGTATTCAGAAGTTTGTTTGTATTGTCATAAAAAAAGATAGCTATAGTGCTTTTGTTATTTCATCGATTGACAATATGGCCTCCTTCATTTATCATTCATGAGAAAATCTGAAATGAAAACACCTGACGTCATCTAAATCTATTTCAGTGCCGTAAAACTTCCATCGAAACTATTTCACGTAAATAAAACCTATTATCAAGTCAACAGTGGCAATGTAATTTATCAATTTATATTTACATTTGCAGTCATTAGTTCATTAGTAGACGGGAGCTTTGGGAAATTCACTCAGGTTTTAATAGTGGAAACCTTTCCCGTTATGGATATTTTTTTATGAAAGACGTGGGAGGCGCACACCGAGGCGGATCCTTGTGCAGAAGGACGAATGGGTGTGTCCTGCATAAGGATCAATACATGCTCTGCTATGTCAAATATTTAGCGGTGAATCGTATTAGTTGTAAAATAGCTAGGCAAAATGTTTTCGTTTCGATTTGTATGGAAACTGCTTAATGAGGAAATGACCGTTCCAAAATACAGTCGTTCGTCATCTATTTAGATTACTAATTCACTTTAATTGCCTAAATCTAATGTTAACTGTATTACATAACACAATCCCAAAATACCCCAAATATGTTTAGAAAAATTAAAACATCACCCGCAACTGAAAGCCTGATGGATGCTAAAATATTGCTCGAATCTTGGATATCTAACAGAATTTTGTTTATTGATTCTTGATTCTTTTTATGATAATTTCTATTGATAGTTGATGTACATAGGTAATTACTAAAATGTTATATTTTAACCAATAAATTACTTACTCGTGGTTAAGTCAGAAGGTTGAAAACTGTGATAAGACCGATGCTGAGCAATTTACTGCTATATATACTTAATTCCAGGCATATTATACAATTTAAAAAAAATGAGTTTAAAAGTGAACCTCCATCAGATGGTGAATGATGATGTGCATTTTATTAAGTATTTAGATTTCAGAAATAATTCATATGACATAAAGGATAAGGTGACATTTAGACGAATGTACCGAACATATCACCTATCGCATGAGCAAATTAGTCTAAAATTTACCTTTTGACTCCTATGTTTTTCATACATGTAACACTCTACTTTACATTGCTTCTCTCATTATCCAAACATACATAAAAAAATATAGTTTCGTCAAATTGACCTTCGAGGCCAATAGGTGAACTGATGCTGTTCTAATTGGGGTCTCCTAACGTATTGTTAGCAAGAGTGGCAAGCTTCTTCGGAGGTCTTTCCATCTTCGATGCTAGATGTGGACGACGGCCTCTAGACCCGAATCAAGACAACATCAGTTCATTTATTGTTTTTATGGAGAAGTGATGAAAGCACAGTTCAAGATAGGAGCGGCTGGTGTAGAGGTGGTGAAAAGTATGCACAAAAGGTACCCCAGCTAACGAGCCGTCAATGACTGAGAACAGTTGCCAGCTTGGTAGCCGCGTTATCTTTTTCTCTCTTTGATATTGCAAGCGTCAAGTGACGAAACACTGATACCTATTCGTGATCTTCGCAACAGCTGGTACACAGACTTGTCACTGCACGTGTAACGATTAGTAGTTATGTGGACCATTCGATTTTTAGAGTTATTGCTGTTACCACAAAATATAAAAATGAGTATAGTGTGAAAATATCAAACAAAAAACAATGTTTTATCGTAAGCGTCAAGTAATGAAACACTCATACCTTATCATGACCTTCGCAACAGCTGGTACACATACAGGTGTCAATTGCGCGTGTGACGATTAGTAGCTATTACCACAAATACAAAAATAAGTTGAGTGTGAAAATATCAGAAAAAAAAACAATGTGCTTCCACGTAGAATATGCGGACACTGTGGTTACGGTGCAATAAGTATGAACTGGCGACTTCACACAAATACGTGTCGTCATTGCCGGAGCAATTGGGGCTCGGTGTAAGATATCTCATTCTATTTCTTTTTCATATACCTTCTTCTCCCTTAATTTTTCCGGAGTACTGGTCAGATATAGCGTATAAGCTTTACGTAATTTTAGGATCCCATATAAACAAAAAGCATTGTTAGTAGCAATATTAATTACAAATAAATTTTTACTAACACTTGTAGAATTGTAGAATTTACGAAAATGCTGTTCGTGTAGTTGGCTAAAGTTTATTCCAAAGTTACTTTAAAGTTACTGTCATTTTATTATTCGGCATTGGGAATGGAATGGGAATAGCAAAAATCTATGTAATTATATCTTGTTTATTTAACAACAAATACATGATCAAACTTATTAGTAATTGCGGTAAAAATAAACCAGGGTCTTTTAATTTGGAGTATTGATCTGATGTTGTGTCAACATAGATTTTCTAATTTCTACATCTTTTTACTGCGTTCATAGCTCTAAGAAGGGGATACCTTGGTCCAAAATTACCATCAAAATCGTCTTCATCAATAGCCCAGTTCATAACGCCTCCAAGACCTTTCGAACAAACGAAATTTACCTAGAAAGGGAATCAGAGACATAAGATTAAAGGTTGGACACTTCCGTCATTCAGCCTTTATCGCGCAAAGGCTTTCTAATAAGACAACTGATTACTTAATACAGGATTTCTAAAAGTACCTATATTTATTTTCCGTTACCTTAGCTGCAATAGATCTCACGTTGTCGTAACCAACCCATTGGTTTCCTGAATATGCATAAGGGGATTCGTAATTCTGGTCATATACTTCAGTCCATCCTTGCTGGAGCTTTTCTAGGATCTGTTTTTGATTCAATTAGTTAAAATAAGTCTTGTGTTAATTATGGAAAAATAGTTAACCTCATAATAAGCTAAATTGCTTGCATCTTGAAGATATGGTCCAGCAATACCTGGGCCGGAGATGGGCGCTCCAATCGAATTATCGGATGAATTTCTCAACGTGTACAACTTTCCATAAAAAGGAATTCCGACGACCAGCTTTTCAGGATCAACGCCAGCATTAAGCCAACTGTTCACGAAAAGTTCCTGCAAGGACAATTTCATTTTAGGAGTGCTTAGTTATTATCAATAGCCACTGCTCTAGTGTTCCGCCGATTGTCTTTTTTGTCTTAGACATTTGAAGAAAACTTTTGTATTAACATTTAATTTCGAATGATTTAACATACCACGCTGATACTTCCGGCAGGATCGTGGAGGGGTGCATTTACTCCAGCGGAGCCATCCCAAGATCCGTGTAAGTCGTAAGACATGAAATTGATCAGATCGACTACACTGCAAACGAAATGGTAGTATGTAACATTTTGTATTTACGGCAGTAGCACCATTTAGTGTCTATATCTGCTGTTATACGAATTTCCGATATTTTTTCAAACTTGAGGAATCATTAATTTAGATAATGGTCATTACTTAAATTTGTACTGGATTAATTAGTGCATCTCGGTACATTAAAATGAAGAAGTGATAAGAAATGACTAACACAATTTCAATTTAAAATGATATAATGCATGTTTTCCGAGGTTTGGGTACATCCCGAGTGATAGTGCTATCAAAGAATCGTGAGATCATCGTCACCGACATACGAGGTGAGGTCTATAAGTTTGCGATATGAGGGGAAAGGGGCGGAGTAAATAATTATCACTGTTCAGCCCGCGAATTACGGATTCGTTGTTAGTATATGCGTGAAATTACAAGTCTATGACGTTATTTATTTAAGAGTTCTCAAACGAGTCAATTCGGAAATAATTGCAAATTCTCGTGGTAGCATGAGATAGTCGAGAAATGCCATAAACCATTGAATAATTGATTTATACGCAATCTTAATAATTTCACAACAATTTATGTGCCACTGTAACAATTGTAGGTAAATAGGTACAACATACTTTGAAAGTGCCTGGACGTCGTAACCGACATCGATATAAGAAGGCGATGATCCTACTGCTACTGTAATTAGAAGTCCCAATGGTTCGAAAGCCGCCTTGACTTCTTGCAGCAGTGTAATCAAATTTTCCTAAATAAAAATTAGTCTGTTATTAATTTGTTAAGATGTAATGAATGGTTTATTGTTTTTAAATTTTACTTCATTATTCGAAAGGCCATTAATGAAACCTTTAAATCGAAGAGCAGAAAATATTTTTTTTGCGGAATATGATGCAAACAGATTTAAATCATGCAGCTTTGGAGGGACTTCATAATTTGTTATTAAAGAGGTCACCTTAGATATCTCCTTTTGCGGTTAATTATGAAAAATTATTGCTGTTGTCACACCCTCGTTGGGAATGGAACCCGGGACTTTTGGCTTTAGGCGCTAAATCTCTGACCATTAAGCTACAGACTATACTTCATTTACTTTCTCTAGCGATGTGCCCTTCCAATGTCTTGGATTCGCGCTGGCAAAATCGTAGGTAGGGCGAAAAAAGCTCATTATACTCTCGACTCTTGTTCATTAAACATACTTTTTCAAAGTTTTGTTCAATCATGAATAGTAGTGCGAGTCGAAAACAAGCGTTAAAGCCTTTAATATGTCTTCAAATATAAATAAACATCTCGTTAATATTTTCAGTAGTAAATGGTACCCAATAACAGCACATTTAAGCAATGCAATTTTAGTGGATAAAATGGTAAATTTTTCCGTGCAGTACTGTACGGATTATACGCTCCTCACCGGTTGAGTGTTTGGCCGAGAGTCTCCTTCCTTGTCTGGCCTGGTGCTGTTCTTTTCTACTTTGCGCCGGTCAAACTGAAGGTCACATCGCTACAGAAACTAAACGAAGTGAACGAAAGGTGACAGCAACAACGAGAAAAGGCGCTAACAAACTTAGCAAATTGGCTAAACTAATTTTTATATATATATATATCTCAGTATCTATAAAATACTTTGAAGCAATTTGTTCTCTATACTTGATAGATATTAATGTCCCTGCAAGGACTTATTGAACTTAGATTGCCGAGATCATCAATTTGATATACTGTGGGTACATGTGTCTACGAATACAGCACATCCGAAATAGATTTTGAATTCCTATGTATATGAATGGGCAATAAAATTAATAGCAATCCATACCTTGTCTGCTCCACCAAAAGCAGAGTCCCTTTGAGCAGGATACTCCCAGTCTAAATCGAGGCCATCAAAACCATAATTATGTATGAAATCTATAATCTGTTGGATAAACGTTGCTCGTTTTGAGGCACTCGCAGCTACTACCGAATAAGCATAAGAACCTTGACTCCATCCGCCCATGGCAACTAAAAATTTTACTCGAGGGTACCGAGCTTTAAGGTTCGTCAAATTTCGGAATCCCCCTAGTTAACAAATGAAGACTTTTAGAATGCTTGTCCAACCCAATTTTCATTAAATTAAAATTGTTTGTCAATTTGAAATTTGAGGAGGAATTTCTATGTATCTATGCTATTATATTCCTTGCTCTTACAATTACTATACTAAATCCATTATGTAAAATATCCTGAATGTAGTAAAGTAAGTACAAAACAGTAGACATACCTCGGTTCACGTCAAGAGCAGGATCTAAAATTTCGACATCTTGAGTAGCGTTGTTCAATCCAATGAAGCTGTAGTAGATATGAGTACATAAGGAAGGACTTACATCACTGGTTCCGAAGCTTCCGATGCTTGCTCTGTATATTGCCCAACTTCCGTAATAACAGCCAACAACTAATGAGAAAAAACAAAAGTAAATTGATTTTTTTCAAATCTTTTCAAATCTACCAGCACAGCAGACACAGACGTAATTAATTAATCTCAAACTGTTTTTTTTTTTTTTATATTAGCAGACCACCAAACGTTACGATAAATTCGGAAGCAAAGAAATATGTAGGAAGCTGAAGGAATATTGATGAGCCACATTGAAAACAAAATTTAAAAATTGACAAATAGTATAACTGGGCCATGAAACTAAAAACAAAAAGTTTGGCATGAAAAAACAAATTTATTAAAATTGCCTTTTTGGTAATCTTATGTTTAAAGATATACTTTCTTCTTTATATTTGACAATTCAATGATGCTCACCTTTGCGGCTGTCGACAACTGCAGTTAAAGTTGCACCGCACAAAACCAAGAGCAGCAAGTTTCTGACCATCTTGAACAATTGCTTTAACTGGATTCAAATTTTTTGCGAACCCCATTTATATAGTTATCATTTTTCATTCTTATCTTTTATTTATTAAAACTTAAAGTAGACATCAGATATGAAAGTAGTAACTAATTCCTTTTACAATTTAATGTATAAAAATGCTTGTAAGATTCCATACTGAGTAAACATAATAAAAAACCTTTAATCCATTACACGAGCCTTTTTTTCAATTTCCTTGCTATTTGGATGTAATGATTTACGAAACATCAAAAATACTGTCATCGCATTTTGATTGATCGTTATATGTGCAAGCGGTATTGTGCAATAATAATAGCCTAATAAGTCACAATACTCATTACATTTCAAAGTCTAAATTATTTAAAATCCAAAAACTTTTCTTATGCGCTATCATCAATAGATGTCCCGAAAGACTGTTTGGTAAACCTATTTAGTATTAATCTCTATTAACTATAGCAGCAATTTGAGCAAAAACTGACTAGAAACAGATAATAATTACTGAATTCAAAAAGTACAAGACTTAAACTAGAGCATAGGTACTCGGCAAACTTAAAACATTTTATTGATAGAAACAAAATGTAAAATGTATCATTTTTTTAGAATATTATTTCACCAATTTTCCTAAACGACCAAACTGGAATGCAACAACTTGAAATGATTTTAGTGACCATTGGATTTGAACTTTTGCACACTTTTGTGGCTTCCATAACAATAATTCATCGAACTTAACCCAACCAAGAGTTACAAAAGTGACCATTTATACTAATGACCAACAAAAGTAAAGTCAAATAGTGAAGAAATAATCGTAAAAGCAAAAAAAAACACCACAAATAAAAATAATCAAAGCCAGTGGATATTTAAAATCCACCAGTGGTACACTACTGAAACAACTCACACTCGTTCCAAAGTTACTTTAAAATTTTAGGCATGAAGGTCTAGTCAGAGATATATTAGAGGCAGAAACGGAAGGTAGAACTAGAATAGATTAGTGTTGTGTGTATGCCAAGATTAGCTCAGGATAGGAAATAGTGGAGGTGCGTGTCCAACCAGTCTTAGGACTAAAATTTTTGTCTTATCACATTATCATTCTGCATTGGGATTGGAATAGGAATAGCAAAAATCTATGTAATTAAAATTTCTTTATTTAGCGAAAAATCCATGTTCAAACCTATTAGTAATTGTGGTAAAAGAAAACTGGGGTGAGATAGGATCTCATAATTTAAAATATTGATCTGCTGTGATGTTGTGTCAACTTAGACTTTCTAATTTCCACAACTTTTTACTGCGTTCATAGCCCTAAGAAGAGGATACCTTGGTCCAAAATTACCATCAAAATCGTCTTCATCAATAGCCCAGTTCATAACTCCTCCTAGACGATTCGAACAAACGAAATTTACCTAAAAAGGGAATCAGAGACATAGGATTAAAGATTGGACACTTCCGTCATTCAGCCTTTATCGTACAAAAGCTTCCTAGTAAGGCAACTGATTACTTTATACAGGATTTCTAAAAGTACCTATATTTATTTTCCGTTACCTTAGCTGCAATAGATCTCACGTTGTCGTAACCAACCCATTGGTTTCCTGAATATGCATAAGGGGATTCGTAATTCTGATCATATACTTCGGTCCATCCTTGCTGGAGCTTTTCTAGGATCTGTTAGTGATTGAGTTAGTTAAAATAGTCTTGTGTTAAATATGGAAAAATAGTTAACCTCATAATAAGCTAAATTGCTTGGATCTTGAAGATATGGGCCAGCAATACCTGGGCCGGAGATGGGCGCTCCAATCGAATTATCAGATGAATTTCTCAACGTGTACAACTTTCCATAAAAAGGAATTCCCACGATTAGCTTATCAGGATCAACGCCAGCATTAAGCCAACCGTTGACGAACTGTTCCTGCAAGGACAATTTCATTTTAGGAGTGCTTAGTTATTATCAATAGCCACTGCTCTAGTGTTCCGCCGATTGCCTTTTTGTCTTACACATTTGAAGAAAAATTTTGTATTAACATTTAAAGTGGAATGATTTTACATACCACGTTGATGCCTCCAGTAGGGTCGTGGAGGGGTGCATTTACTCCAGCGGAGCCATCCCAAGATCCGTGTAAGTCGTAAGTCATGAAATTGATCAGATCGGCTACACTGCAAACGAAGTGGTAGTATATAACCTTTTGTATTTACGGCAATAACACCACTTAGTGTCTATATCTGCTGTTATACGAATTTCCGATATTTTTTCAAACTTGAGGAATCATTAATTTAGATAATGGCCATTACTCAAATTCATACTGGATTAATTAATGCAGCTAGGTACATTAAGATGAAGAATTGATAAGAAGTGACTAACACAATTTCAATTTAAAATTATATAATGTATGTTTTCCGAGTTTTGAGTACATCTCGAATGGTAGCGCTATCAAAGAATCGTGAGATCGTGTTTTCGTCACCGACATACGAGGTGAGGTCCATAAGTTCGCGCTGTGATAAAGTTCCTGGCAAAGCAAGGAAAGTCACGTCAGATTATAATGAGCGAAATGGAAGCCGTTTATAGTAATCACTGCCTTAGCAAAACTATGATTTACAAGTGGCATGGTCAATTTAAATATGGTCGGGGGTCGACTGAAGACGAACCCCGCCCTGTACTTCCGATTGAGACCACCAAAATTAATATTAGAAGATGCTCGCCTGAAAAGGAAACTGTTATCGGCATTAGTGGGAATGTCAGAAACCACAGTTTTAAGAATGTTTGACGATCATCTTGGCATGCCTAAAGTCAGTGCAAGATGGGTACCAGGAATGCTTACGCGGCGTCGAAAGCAACAGCGAGTGGACGCATGTGGGTATTTCTTTGGAACTGTGCGGCGACGCACCTAGCCCGTTATTGGAGAAGATTGTTACGGGAAAGGCCCTTAAGAAGTTTAAGGTGTGAGAATCGGCTGGGAAGTTGACAGCTACAGTTTTTTGGGACTGTGAAGGAATTTTGCTAGTAAATTACAAAGAAACAAATACCCCAATTACTGGAAACTACTATGCTTCAATACTGGAAAAGTTAAAGGCAGCCATTAAAGAAAAAAGAAGAGGAAAATTGACGAAAGATGTGTTGCTCCTGCAGGATAATGCGGCAATGCACAAATGCAGTGTTGCGATGACTGCTCTACATAAACAAGGATTCGATTCTCTAGCTCACACATCTTGAAATCCAGACTTGGCTCCCACAGGTTCTTATTTACTTCCAAATTTGGAAAAGGAGCCCAGGGGGGACAATGAAGTCAAAGAAGCTGTTCCGGCCCATTTTGAGGGCGAAGATAAAATTCTCTTTTGATGGAATCTGACTTAGAAAATAACTCTGTATTTTTATTTTACAACACATTCATTTCGCGAACTATTGGACCTTCTCTCGTAGGTAGATCAATTATTTTCCCGTGGTAGCATGAGATGAGAAAATGCCATAAACCAATTAATAATTGATTCATATGGAATCTTAATCATATCACAACAACGTATATGCCACTGTAACAATTATAGGTAAGTAGGCACAACAACATACTTTGAAAGTGCCGGGACGTCGTATGCGACATTGATGTAAGAAGGTGATGATCCTACTGCTACTGTAATTAAAAGTCCCAATGGAAGGAAAGCCGCCTTTACTTCTTGCAGCAGCGTAATCAAATTATCCTAAATAAGAATCAGTCTGTTATTAATTTGCTAAAAAAAAATTGATTGGCGGAAAATAATTTTCTGGCGAAATATAATGCAAAGAAATCAAAATTATGCAGTTTTGGAGAGACATCATAATTTGTTATTAAATAGGCCACTTTTAGGCATCTCCTTTTTCGGTTAATCACAAAAAATTGTTGCTGTTGTCATACCCTCACCGGGACCTTTGACTTTACGCGCCAATGCACTGACCATTAAGCTACAGAAGGTGACAGCAACAACAACGGCAAAGGGCGCTTATAAACTTAACAAATCGGCTAAACTAATTTATATATATCTCAATGTCTATAAACCATTTTGAAAAAAAAATATTGTTTATACTTGATAGAGGTTAATATCTCGGCAAGGACTTATTGCAACCTATTGAACGAAGATTGCCGAGATCATCAATTTGATATACTGTGGGTACATTTACCGAAACAATACTCCCGAATAGTCATTGAATTCCTAAGTACTTATATAAATGGGCAATAAAATTAATAGCAATCCATACCCTGTCTGCTGCACCAAGAGCAGAGTCCCGTTGAGTAGGATACTCCCAGTCCAAATCGAGGCCATCAAAACCGTAATTCTGTATCAAAATTATAACCTGTTGAATAAATGTTGCTCGTTTTGTGGCATTCGCAGCTACTAGGGAATAGGCATAAGAACCTTGACCCCATCCGCCCATAGCAACTAAAAATTTTACTCCAGGGTTCTGAGCTTTAAGATTTGTCAAATTTCGGAATCCCCCTAGTTAACAAATGAAGACTTTTAGAATGCTTGTCCAACCCAATTTTCATTAAATTAAAATTGTTTGTCAATTTGAAATTTGAGGAGGAATTTCTATGTATCTATGCTATTATATTCCTTGCTCTTACAATTACTATACTAAATCCATTATGTAAAATATCCTGAATGTAGTAAAGTAAGTACAAAACAGTAGACATACCTCGGTTCACGTCAAGAGCAGGATCTAAAATTTCGACATCTTGAGTGGCGTTGTTCAATCCAATGAAACTGTAGTAGATATGAGTACATAAGGAAGGATCTATATCACTGGTTCCGAAGCTTCCAATGCCTGGCCTATTTATTGCCCAACTTCCGTAATAGCAGCCAACAACTAATGAGAAAAAACAAAAGTAAATTGATCTTTTTCAAAGTTTTTCAAATCTATCAGCACAGCAGACACAGTCGTAATTAACTAATCACAAACTGTTTTTTGTTTTGACATTAGCAGACTACCAAACGCTAGGATAAATTCAGAAGCAATGAAATACATAGGAAGTTGAAAGAATATTGATAAGCCATATTGAGAACAAAATTTAAAAATTGACAAATGGTATAACCACGCCATGAAACTAAAAACAAAAACTTTGAAATCAAAGAGATTCTATATTCCATAAAAATTGCCTTTTTACTAAGTTTAACTTTCTTTATTGGATTTGACAATTGAATCGTACCCACCTCCACGACTGTCAACAACTGCAGTTAAAGTTGCACCGCACAAAACCAAGAACAGCAAGTTTCTGACCATCTTGAACTGTTGGTTTGACTGGATCTAAGGTTTTTGCAAACCCTATTTATATAGTTATTTTTCTTCCTTGTTATCTTTTAATTATCAGAACTTTAAGTAGACATCAGATATGAAAGAAGTAGCTAATCCCTTTCACAATTAAATGTGTCAAAATAACTGTAAGATTGCAGACTAAATAAACACACTAGGAATCCTTTAATCCATCACACGAGCCTTTTTTTTCCATTTCCTTGCTATTTCCAAGTAATGATTTAATAAACATTAAAAATACTGTCATCTCATTTTGATTGATCGTTATATGTGCAAGTGGTATTGTACAATAATTATAACCTAATGTGCCACGATAGGTAGTCATTACTTTCTCCACGAACATATTCGATTCAACGCTTAAATTATCTAAAATCCCAAAAATTTTCTTATGAGCTACCATCAAATGATGTCCCGAAAGGCTGTTTGGTTTAAACTTATTTTGTATTAATCTCCAAGTTATAGCGGCAATTGCAGTTAAAACTGACTACAAACAGAAAATAATTAGTGTCCAACCGAAAGTTCGGTTTCGGTCGAGTTTCGGCAAAAAAACGAGTTTCGGTTTAGTTTCGATTTCGGCGGAAAACCTGCCGAAACTACGACCAAAACCGAAACTGCGTTCGGGAGTTCTCGCGCTCTGCTCGGTCATGTTCGGCGCGTTAAATTCCATACAAGCGAAGTAGATTAGTATACATTTCGCCGCGCCTAGGTGCATAATCTTTGTTTCTGTTGAAGTTTAGTGTCATTCAACATGACGAATTAAGTTTAGAAGAAGTTAATTTGTTCTTAATTAAGATAAAAGTGATTTATTTTGGTTTGTTTATTACTTAAATATTAAGTTCCTATACCTATTGTGATATTAGGTAACAATAACAAAAGTAATTTTATGTTTAATATTATATAAAAAAAAGCATGAATAATCTTCAAAAGAAAAATGAGTCTAGTCTACTATACTTACTCAAATAAACATCTCACCTATTTTAAGTATTTTGAAGGCGCATTTAAAGTATTTCCTTAAATGAGGGGTTGTTATGTTGATTTTGATTTGATTATCAAGTGAAAATGTTAAAGATTGCAGAGCTACGTGATTTAAAGATAAAAAAATAAAACTGACTGATTATAATAACGTTTTCTTTATTTTTCTCTTAAAACATGATCCTTATAAGGAAATTTCGGTTTCGGTTCCGGTTTTGGCCGAAACTGAGACCATTGCAGAAATTCGGTTTCGGTTTCGGTTTCGGTCGTAAAAACCAGTTTCGGTCGGACACTAAAAATAATTACTGAATTCAAATAGTACCAAGCTGAAACTGGAGTGAAGGTATCCATACTAACGACCAAAAACAGTAAAGTAAAATGGTAATGCAATAACCGTAAAAGTTAAAGAAGACCAGAGAAAAACCAAGTTGGTGAAATAAACACAATCAAATTTAGTGGATGTTTAAAAACCACCAGTTGTTTAAATTGACGTTATTTCAAGAAGCGCAATTGGTACAAATTCAACGGTATTACAAAACCCAAAGCATGATGATTGTTATATCGCTCTAATGTTTCTAGTTTCTAATACACAAGCTAACAATAAATGTTTAATAAGGTTTACAAAAGTGGCAGGTAGTTGCAACAGCTTGTTTCAAGATATTTTAGTCGAAAACCATGTGCATAATGAGATACGACGGTTGCACAAGTCAGTGTGCTTCCTTCCAATTTATTTCACCCTTTGAAACTTCGTGAATGGCGATCAAATTATTGGAGTCCTGTTTTAGACAGCGAAGTCGTGGGGTTCATTTGAATTTCCGATTACAGAAGCAACGTTATCAACATAGTCTAAAGCTGTATAATTTTCACAGATCCCCGGAGGTGACTTGATAATGGGCATTACAAAAAAAATTTTTGCTCCAATTATGCTGTTCTTGACAGTTTCAGATCAAACAGGAGAAGCGATAGTTGAGTGAGATTTTCATGACGTAATTAAGAATGTTAATCATATATTGTAGAGATATTGAAAAAATCGGTCTAGTCAGGGTATATCCAGGGTAGTACCAACCTTCTTCGGTTGCGGATTTTGTAATTACTAAGAAAAAGGGTAGCAGTGTTTTCAATTTAAAAACAATGTTGTAGAAAATAAAAACAAATGCTATTATGAAAACAGTTACAAGGTTATGTATTGAGTGGTTCTGTGGGGTTAGTACACCTCGCAGTTAAAGGGATGCTGGTAGGGGGCGTATTAGAAGAGGATGATCGATCGTACTCTTAGTCGGACAACCAGTAGACATCTTGTCATCTGATGGGTTAGTAAACGCGTGTAATTTACTGGTTTGAATGGTGTATTGAGTTATTTGAGGATTCGAAGATGATGCTAGAATCATTTGAGATGTACTGTTATACGGGGATATTGAAGATACCGTGAATAAAAAAGGTTAGAAGTTAGAGGGTATTATAAAGAGTGGAACAGTTATGGAAATAAATAAAAAGTAGGCGAAATAGGTTGGTAGGTCACCTTCTCGGTCATGAAAAGCAAGCTGGAGACAGAAACAAGGGTTATGATAGAAGCAAGGATGTAAGTTGCTTGAAATTTTAAGAAATTTGACTCGAGACAGGAAGAAGTGGAAGAGCGTGTCCAACCAGTTTTCAGACTAAAGATCTTACTGATGATAATGATGGTTTATAATTGATCAGTGTTTCTGATCTTGTTTTAAAGCACGTTTAGTGAAGAGATGTAATCTGCAATCGATGTATTGTTTTAAGTGACGCTTACAAAACAACAACATTGATAACTTGAATAATGTCAATCATTTAAAATAATGAAAAAAAAATATTTATTAACATGGCAAACGAGTAATTGTTACGACATTAATTAAATTTAGCAGACAGAATTAGTGAAAGAGATACCACCGTTCAAAATAAGATTAATGTGAGTACTTTATTCTTACAAGCAGTCACAGAACACGAAGCTCGTAATATAATTACTTATATTATCGCTAGAAAGACGACTAGCCCAGATCAAATACCACTCAAAGTTCTAAAAGTTTCACAAAAGGATGTAACCTCGGTTATAAGCAAATTAATCCATCTGTGCTTCTTAAAAGGTTTATATCCGGAAACTTTAGAAATCGCATTAATATCTACTGTATTCAAATCTGGAGATAGTAAAATCTGTAACACTTACTAGCGCAGCAAATAATTTAGGCAGAGTTATATTTCTCAATAAACGGCTTCAATCTATACTCAACACCCAACAGCTTCTAGCGGTTTACTATGCTCTATTCCACTCTGCCCTTAGTTATGGAACTGTGACTTGGGGTGGAGCATATGCTAACACAATAGGTCAAATACAAATAAAGTAATTAAAACTGTATATAGAAAAGATCACCTCTGTAGTACAATCCAGCTCTATAAAGAAACTACAGTCGAAAATCTTGAATCACTACGTTTATGCAGTTATACTACCCAGCATTGCACTAAGCAAACCAATGACAATATCACATACACTCCTCATAGACATAGAAATTACCTCACAGTATTACAACAGGGCAAAAATCATTCATCTACATAGGTCCTAAGGCTTACAATCGACTGCCAGAAAAAATGAGAAATTCGGTTACTACTAGCAGTTCTAAAAATGAAATCATCAAGTGGATTAGAACTATAGACTTGCGTTACCAAGAATAGAAACATAATCTCATATAATTACTTATATATNCGTGCAATTGACCTGTCTGTGTACCAGCTGCTGCGAAGGTCATGATAAGGTATGAGTGTTTCGTCACTTGGTTTAGACCATTGAAAATGGGGAACTTAACTACTTGTGTAAAAGTTTGGTACTAGATCGACACGCTCAGTGGCGTAACTAATACCAAGAGTTAATTAATTAACTCTTGGTATTAGTTACGCCACTGAGCGTGTCGATCTAGTACCAAACTTTTACACAAGTAGTTAAGTTCCCCATTTTCAATGGTCTAAACCAAGTGACGAAACACTCATACCTTATCATGACCTTCGCAGCAGCTGGTACACAGACAGGTCAATTGCACGTGCAACTATTAGTAGTTATCTGGACCATTCGATTTTCACAGTTATTACTATTACCAAAAAATACAAAAACAAGTAAAATGTGAAAATATCAAACAGAAAACAACGTATTATGGCAATCGTCAAGTGACGAAACACTCACACTCGTTTCACAGTTACTTTTAAATTTCAGGCATGGAGGTCTAGTCAAAGACATATTAGAGAGAGACTAGGAGGGGTAGAAATAGAACTAGAATAGATTACTGTTCGCAAATAGTTAAGGATATGGGTTGTTCTAGTTTTAGGGAATTGCGAAGATTAGCTCAGGATAGGAAAAAGTGGAGGTCTTAGCACTTTATCATTCTGCATTGGGAATGGAACGGGAATAGTAAAAATTTATGTAATTAAAAGTTTTTTATTTAACAATTAATACATTATCAAACTTATTAGTAATTGTGGTAAAAGTAAACCAGGGTGAGACAGGATTTAAATTGAAATATGTTGTGTTAACTTAGACTTTTTAATTTCCACAACTTTTTACTGCGTTCGTTGTTCTAAGAAGAGGATACTTTGGCCCAAAGTTACCACCAAAATCGTCTTCATCAATAGCCCAATTCATAACTCCTCCAAGACCTTTCGAACATACGAAATTTACCTAAAAAAGGGATCAGAGACGTAGGATTAAAGATTAGACATTTCCGTCATTCAGCCTTTATCGTACAAAAACTTTCTAATAAGGCAACTGATCACCTTATACAGGATTTCTAAAAGTACCTATATTTATTTTCCGTTACCTTAGCTGAAATAGATCTCACGTTGTCGTAACCAACCCATTGGTTCCCTGAACATGCAAAAGGGGATTCGTAATTCTGATCATATGCTTCAGCCCATCCTTGCTGGATCTTTTCTAGGATCTGTTATTGATTGAATTAGTTAGAAAAAGTCTTGCGTTAATTATATAAAAATAGTTAACCTCGTAATAAGCTAAATTGCTTGGATCTTGAAGATATGGGCCAGGAATACCTGGGCCGGAGATAGGCGCTCCAATCGAATTATCAGATGAATTACTCAAAGTGTACAGCTTTCCATAAAAAGGAATTCCCACGATCAGTTTATCAGGATCAACGCCAGCATTAAGCCAACTGTTCACGAGAAGTTCCTGCAAGGACAATTTCATTTTAAGAGAGTTTAGTTGTCAATAACCACTGCTCTAGTTTTCCGCCGATTGTCTTTGACTTAGTCATTTGAAGACAAAATTTGTATTAACATTTAATGTCGAATGATTTTACTTACTACGCTGATACTTCCAACAGGATCGTGGAGGGGTGCATTTACTCCAGTGGAGCCATCCCAAGATCCATGTAAGTCGTAAGACATGAAATTGATCAGATCGACTGCACTGCAAATGAAATGATAGTATATAACCTTTTGCATTTGCATATTTGCTGTCATACGAATTTCCGATATTAAATCAAACTTGAGCAATCATTAATTTAGATAATGACCATTACTCAAATTCATACTGGATTAATAAAGAATTGATAAGAAGTGACTAACACAAGTTCAATTTAAAATGATATAATGCATGTTTTCCGAGCTTTGAGTACATCCCGTATGATAGCGCTATCAAAGATTCGTGAGATCATATTTCCATCACCGATATGCGAGGTGAAGTCCATAAGTTCGCGGCAGGAAGGGGAAAGGGAGGAGCTAAAAATTTTCACTGTACATTTCGCCAATTAGGAATTCGTCGTTGGTATATAAGTAAAATTTAAAGTCTATGACGTTATTCGTTTAAGAGTTGTCACCCTTCAAACAGGTCAATTCTGAAAAGAAGCGCAACGATTGAGAAAATTGAACACCACGCTGTGATAAAGTTGCTGGCAAAGCAAGGAAAGTCAGTTCAGTTTATAATGAGCGAAATGCAAGCTAAACCTGGGTTCCCATAGGAACCGATGCAATGGTACAAAAAGGGGATACCACCCCTATGAAGCTCAAGGTGGCAGAATCGGCTGGGAAGTGGGAAGAGCTACAGTTTTTGTAGACTGTGAAGGACTTTTGCTAGTAAATTACAAAGAAAATGCTACCACAATTACTGGAAATTACTATGCTCCAATACTGGAAAAATCGAAGGCTTTCATTTAGGAAAAAAGAATAGGAAAATTGTCGAAATATGTGCTGCTCCTGCAGGATAATTCGCCAATGCACAAATACAGTGTTGCGATGGTTTCTCTACACAAACAAGGATTCTATTCTCTAGTTTAACCATCTTGAAATCCAGACTTGGCTCCCACTAGTTTTTATTTATTTCCAGATTTGAAAAGGGAGCTTAGGGGCGAAAATTTTCTAATGACAATGAAGTCAAAAAAGCTGTTTCGGCCCGTTTTGAGGGCAAAAACAAAAAAAAAATTTGTTGGTTTAGAGAAGTTCTAGTCTGAAGAATAACTTTGTGTTTTAGTTTTTCAACACTTTCATTCCGCGAATATCTGAACCTCTTTTCGTAGATATATAAATTATTTTTCTGTTCTAAAAATGTCATAAACCATTGAATAATTGATTCATACGGAATCTTAGTTATTTCACAACAATTTTTATGCCACTATAACAATTGTACGTAAATAGGTACAACAACATACTTTGAAAGTGCCGGGACGTCGTAAGCGTCGTCTATGTAAGAAGGTGATGGTTGTACTACTACTGTAATTAAAAGTCCCAATGGTTCGAAAGCCGCCTTTTATTTCTTGCAACAGCGTAATCAAATTATCATAAATAAAAATCAGTCTGTTATTAATTTGTTAAGATGTAATGGGTGGTTTATTGTTTTTAAACATTATTTGATTATTCGAAAGGTCATTAATGAAACCTTTTGGCCACCACCTCTCATCTATTAACTTTGTGTTTTAATGCAATTCAGTTATTGCCATGTTAAAAATTATACTTACGAATTAAAAAAACAAATTAAAATCATGCACTTTGGAGGTACATCCTAATTTATTATTAAAGGGGTCACTTTTAGGTATCTACTTTTTCGGTTAATTACAAAAAATTGTTGCTGATGTCAGACCCTCATCGGGAATCGAACCCGGAACTTTTGACTTTACGCTCCAATGCTGTGACCATTAGGTAAGCTACAGGAGGTGACAGCAACAACAACGACAAAAGGCGCTTATTAACTTAGCAAATCGTCTAAACTGATTTATATATATCTCAAAGTCTATGAAACATTTTGAAAAAATTTTTCTTTACACTTGATAGAGATTAATGTCTCGGTACGGATACAGTACTTCAGAATAGTTGTTGAACTCCTATGTGTAAGAATTGGCAATAAAATTAATAGCAATCCGTACCTTCTCTGCCCCACTAGAAGTAGAACGCGTTCGAGCAGGAAACTCCCAGTCGATATTGAAACCGCATTAGAATCTTGATTCCTTCCGCCCATAGCAACTAAAAATTTTACTCCAGGGTACTGAGCTTTAAGATTCGTAAAATTTCGGAATCCCCCTAGTTAACAAAAGAAGACTTTTAGAATGCTTGTCCAACCCAATTTCCATTAAATTAAAATTGTCTGTTTGAAATTGGAGGAGGAATTTCTGCGTACATCTGTTATTACTATACTAAATGCATTATGTAAAATGTTCTGAATATATTAAGTAATTACAAAACAGTAGACATACCTCGATTCACGTCAACATCAGGATTTAAAATTTCGATATCTTGAGTAACGTTGTTCAATCCAATGAAACTGTAGTAGATATGAGTACATAAGGAGGGATCTATATCATTTGTTCCGAAGCTTCCAATACCTGCCCTCTTTATTGCCCAACTTTCGTAATAGCAGCCAACAACTAATGAGAAAGAAACAAAAGTAAATTAATTTATAACATAGACGTAATTAATTAATCAGAAACTGTTTCTTTTTTACATCAGCGGACTACCAAACGCAAGGATAAATTCAGAAGAAAATAATATTCATGAGCCACATTGGAAACGAAATTTAAAAATTGACAAATAATATGACTGTGCCCTGAAACTAAAAACAAAAACTTTGGTATCAAAGAGAAATTCGATTGAAATTGCCTTTATGGTAAGTTTGTCTTTAAAGAAATATTTTCTTGTTTAGATTTGACAATTAAATCATATTACCCACCGCCACGGCTTTCGACAACTGCAGTTAATGTCGCACCGCACAAAACCAAAAACAGGAAGTTTTTGACCATTTTGAACAGTTGGTTTGACTGGACCTAAGTTTTTTTCGAAGCCTATTTATATAGTTATCGTTCATCATTGTTATCTTTTAATTATTAGAACTTTAAGTAGACATCAGATATGAAAGAAGTGGTTAATCCCTTTCACAATTAAATGTGTAAAAATAATTGTAAGATTGCAGACTAAATAAACAGTCTAGGAACACACGAGCCTATTGTTTCCATTTCCTTGCTATTTTCAAGTAATGATTTACTAAACATTAAAAATACTGTCATCTCATTTTGATTGATCGTTATATCTGCAAGTGGAATTGTACAATAACCCAATAAGTCACTGTACTCATTACGTTTCTCCACGGACATATTCGATTTAAAGCCTAACAAGCCAACAATAAATACTTAATAAGGTTTAGAAAAGTTGTAGGTAGTTGTAGCAGCTCGTCTCAAAATATTTTAGTTGAAAACCATATGCATAATGAGATACGGGTACACAAGTCAGTGTGCTTCCTTCCAATTTATTTTACCCTTTGAAACTTCGTAAATGACGATCAAATTATTGGAATCCTGTTTTAGACAGTAGAGTCGTGGGGTTCATTTGGATTTCCGATTACAGAAGCAACGTTATTAACATAGTCTAGAGCCGTATATCTTTCACAGATCCCTGGAGGTGTCTTGATAATGGGCATTACAAAAAAAATTTGCTTCTTTTATGCTACTCTTGACGGTTTCCCATCAAACAGGAGAAGCAATATTTGAATGAGATTTTTATGGAGTAATTAAGAATGTTAATCACATATTGTACAGATATTGAAAAAAAGGTCTAGTTAGAGGATCCTAAATGGTAGTACCAACCTTCTTCGGTTGCGGGTTTACAAAATGTATTTATTAGGAAGAAGATTAGTAGTATTTTCGATTTAAAAATAGTTGTAAGAAATACAAATTAAATGCCATTAGGAAAATAGTTACAAGGTTATGTATTGCGTCGTTCTATCGCTTTAGTACATCGCGCGGTTAAATGGGCTGCTGAGAGAGGGCGTATTAGAAGAGGATGATCGATCGAACTCATAGTCAGACAATCAGTAGACATCTTCTCATCTGATGGGTTCGTAAACGCCTGTATTTTACTGGTTTGAATGGTATGTATCGCGGATTTGAGGTTCATGTTAGAATCATTTGAGATGTACTGTTATACGAGGATATTGAAGATACCGTGAATAAAAAAGGTTAGAAATTAGAGGGTATTATAAAGGGTGAACAGTTATGGAAATAAATAAACAATAGGCGAAATAGGTTGATAGGTCACCTTCTCAGTCATAAAGAGCTAGCTGGCGACAGAAACGGGACTTAAGTGGGGTAGTGGTAGATCTAGAGTAGGCTACTGTTCGTAATAGTAGCATGGATGAAAGTTAGTCGAAATTTTAGGAAATTTGACTCAAGACTGGAAGAAGTAGAAGAGCGTGTCCAACCAGTATTCAGACTAAAGGTCTTACTGATGGTAATGATGGTTTATAACTAATCAGTGTTTCTGATCTTGATTGAAAGCACGTTGAGTGAAGAGATGTAATCTGCAATCGATGTATTGTTTTCAGTGACGCTTACAAAAAAACAACATTGATAACCTGAATCATGTCAATCATTTAAAATAATGAAGAAATAATATTTATTAACCTAACAAACAAGTAATTTTCCATCGACGATAAAAAAATAAAATAAATTAAGAGGAGGACACACCATGTATGTATTGTCAGGATGCATATTCCGTTTTCATTGAAGGGTGGATATTATGCCTATTATGTGGAAGATGGACTTACAATAGCTGCACAAGAATAGATGATGATGATGATGATGACGAAGCCACCCATATCTGCGAGTTCTGCCAGCTCAAATAATCATCTTTCTCTGTGATCAATCTCGTCACCCCATCCTAACTCAAGGGGTACCCTATTTTACCAGCACCATGGGACAAGACGGGGCAAAACACCTTTTTTTTATGTTAAGTTTTTTCTCTTAAATGTGTTACCAAAAGTTCCTGATGACACCAAATAAAACAATAATAATAATAATTACTTGTTAATTAAAAAATAAATATGATTGTTTCACTATGAAATTGTTTATATTATTGACCTTTAAACTTAAGTACCTCATCTTTTTTTTATGTTTTCGTGGAAGAGGCGAAATCTTCAAAAAACACCCAACCGTCTGTACGACTGGGTAGAGTCGGATTCCTAAGGAAGAAGTCCTCGGACCTACCGACTAAAACCCCTCTACCTCAGGCCGTTCTAGGACCAACTAGGGTCCTCTTCAGCCGATCCCATCTTGCCAACCTATCCCCTATGTCTCTAACTGGACCTTCATGTCTGAGAAAGTGTTCTCCTATTCTTTCTAATACCTCTTCATTTTTAACCTTCTCTATCCACGGTATCCTCATCATTCGCATGTAACACCACATTTCGAACGCTTCTAAACTTTTATTTTCCGCCGCACCCACCGTCTATGTTTCGTACCCCTACAGCGCCGCGCTCCAAACATACGCCTTTAACAATCCGTTTCGAATTTTTAAATTAATCGTTCGCGAGCACTGAAGTGACTTTTTATTGAAAGCGATCCGACCCTACGCTATCGTCTGCTTTATATCCCTACTACTCCTTCCGTCCTGACTTATCTGACTTCCTGATATAGAATTAGTCACTTCTTCTAATTTTTCGTTTCCTATCTTTATATTCCAAATATATTTATGTATAAACATTTGTTTAGTTTGCAATTTTCGTTCGTGTGGTCAGCCAATGTTTTTACTACCTTTTTGCTTCAACTAAATGACATTCTACGTCTAGAAAGCAACGGGAATAGCAAAACTATATGTAACTAAGATTTATTTATTTAGCAGATTAGATAAAAATACATGTTGAACAGCAACTCCAAAAAGTTGAAAGTTTTCATCAGGGACGTGGTAAATCTGCGTTATAAGTAAATTTTTAGTTTTCTACTTTCTACATCTTTTCATCACATTCATAGCTTTAAGAAGGGGATACTTTCGTCCAAAATTACCACCAAAGTCGTCTTCGTCAATTGCCCAGTTCATAACGCCTCCAAGACCTTGCAAACATGCGAATCTTACCTAATAAGGGAAACAGTAGGGGATGTGATTAAAAATTTGGCACAAGGATTGTTAAAACTATTTTTGCCTTTACCTTAGCTAAAACAGATCTCACGTTGTAATTAAAACTGGATATAGAAAAGATCACCTCTGTAGTACAATCCAGCTCTATAAAGAAACTAAAATCGAAAATCTTGAATTACTACGTTTATGCAGCTATACTACCCAGCATTACACTAAGCAAACCAATGACAATATCACACACACTCGTCGTAGACATAGAAATGACCTCACAGTATTACAACAGGGAAAAAATCATTCATCTACATAGGTCCTAAGGCTTACAATCGACTGCCAGAAAAAATGAGAAATTCGGTTAGAAAATCAAATTAATACATTAAGAAAGAAAATAGCTCAAGCAACACAATATATATTGGGAAACTTAAGTGAAAAGAAACGTAGACAATTAAACCCAATCAACAAAAGTACTGATGAAGTTAAAGAAGAAATAGACACAATGAAACAAAAAGGCAAAAGCTAAGAGACTAAGACGATATCGAAAATCTAATCAAAGGAAAACTGATAACAGGATGTTTAATACAAATGAAAAGCTTTTTTACAGATCTCTTGAATGTCAACAGGTTGTAATCAATGATGCCCCAAGAATTGAAGCTATTACTGATTTTTGGTCAAATATATGGTCAAAACCTATAGAGCATAACAAGAACGCAAATTGGATTTGCGAGGAAGAAGAGCGAGTTAGAAGTGTAATTCCAATGCCTGAAATAGACATTACGCTAGATGATGTCAAAGAAGCAATCCGAAAAACTCACAATTGGAAAACACCAGGATGTGATAAATTACACAATTTTTGGATTAAAACTTTTACAGTTACACACATACATCTTACTAATATTTTCAACTCATACATGAGGGATCCACAAATGACCCCACTTTTTTTGGCACGTGGCATAACTTATCTTAAACCCAAAGATAATGAAACCACAAACCCGGCTAAATACCGGCCAATCACCTGCTTACCAACAATATATAAACTGCTTACATCTATAATCACAAAAAAGATATATNTCGTGGAGGGGTGCATTTACTCCAGTGGAGCCATCCCAAGATCCATGTAAGTCGTAAGACATGAAATTGATCAGATCGACTGCACTGCAAATGAAATGATAGTATATAACCTTTTGCATTTGCATATTTGCTGTCATACGAATTTCCGATATTTTATCAAACTTGAGGAATCATTAATTTAGATAATGGCCATTACTCAAATTCATACTGGATTAATTAATGCAACTAGGTACATCAAAATGAAGAATTGATAAGAAGTGACTAATACGAGTTCAATTTAAAATGATATAATGCATGTTTTCCGAGCTTTGAGTACATCCCGAGAGATAGCCCTATCAAAGAATTGTGAAATCAAGTTTCCATCACCGATATGCGAGGTGAGGTCCATAAGTTCGCGGCAGGAAAGGGAAAGGGAGAAGCTAAAATTTTTCACTGTACATTTCGCCAATTAGGAATTCGTCGTTGGTATATAAGTAAAAGTTTAAGTCTATGACGTTATTCGTTTAAGAGTTGTCACCCTTCAAACAAGTCAATTGAACACCACGCTGTGATAAAGTTGCTGGCAAAGCAAGGGATAGTCAGCTCAGTTTATAATGAGCGAAATGAAAGTTAAACCTGAGTTCCCATAGGAATCGATACAATGGCACCCCTATGAAGCTCAAGATGGCAGAATCGGCTGGGAAGTGGGAAGAGCTACAGTTTTTGTAGACTGTGAAGGACTTTTACAAGTAAATTACAAAGAAAATGTTACCACAATCACTGGAAACTACTATGCTGCAATACTGGTAAAGTTAAAGGATGCCATTTGGGTAAAAAGAATAGGAAAATTGTCGAAATATGTGCTGCTCCTGCAGGATAATTCGCCAATGCACAAATACAGTGTTGCGATGACTTCTCTACACAAACAAGGATTCTATTCTCTAGTTTAACCATCTTGAAATCCAGACTTGGCTCCCACTAGTTTTTATTTATTTCCAAATTTGAAAAGGGAGCTTAGGGGGCGAAAATTTTCTAATGACAATGAAGTCAAAAAAGCTGTTACGGCCCGTTTTGAGGGCAAAAACAAAAAAAAAATTGTTGGTTTCGAGAAGTTCTAGTCTGAAGAATAACTTTGTGTTTTAGTTTTTCAACACTTTCATTCCGCGAATATCTGAACCTCTTTTCGTAGGTATATAAATTATTTTTCTGTTCTAAAAATGTCATAAACCATTGAATAATTGATTCATGCAGAATCTTAGTCATTTCACAACAATTTTTATGCCACTATAACAATTGTACGTAAATAGGTACAACAACATACTTTGAAAGTGCCGGGACGTCGTAAGCGTCGTCTATGTAAGAAGGTGATGGTTGTACTGCTGGCAGACAGTATTTGTGGAATTTGAGCAAATCTAAATTAATTAATTAATTAACTCTTGGTATTAGTTACGCCACTGAGCGTGTCGATCTAGTACCAAACTTTTACACAAGTAGTTAAGTTCCCCATTTTCAATGGTCTAAACCAAGTGACGAAACACTCATACCTTATCATGACCTTCGCAGCAGCTGGTACACAGACAGGTCAATTGCACGTGCAACTATTAGTAGTTATCTGGACCATTCGATTTTCACAGTTATTACTATTACCAAAAAATACAAAAACAAGTAAAATGTGAAAATATCAAACAGAAAACAACGTATTATGGCAATCGTCAAGTGACGAAACACTCACACTCGTTTCACAGTTACTTTTAAATTTCAGGCATGAAGGTCTAGTCGAAGACATATTAGAGACAGATTAGGAGGGGTAGAAATAGAACTAGAATAGATTACTGTTCGCAAATAGTTAAGGATATGGATTGTTCTAGTTTTAGGGAATTGCGAAGATTAGCTCAGGATAGGAAAGAGTGGGATCTTAGCATTTTATCATTCTGCATTGGGAATGGAACGGGAATAGTAAAAATTTATGTAATTAACAGTTTTTTATTTAACAATTAATACATTATCAAACTTATTAGTAATTGTGGTAAAAGTAGACCAGGGTGAGACAGGATTTAATTTGAAATATCGATATTGAAACCATCAAAATCATTATCGTCCATAAAAGTTGTAGCCTGTTGGATAAATGTTGCTCGTTTTGAGGCATTCGCAGCTACTGCGGAGTAGGCATTAGAATCTTGATTCCTTCCGCCCATAGCAACNGAACCAGAATAGATTACTGTTCGCAAATAGTTAAGGATATGGATTGTTCTAGTTTTAGGGAATTGCGAAGATTAGCTCAGGATAGGAAAGAGTGGGATCTTAGCATTTTATCATTCTGCATTGGGAATGGAACGGGAATAGTAAAAATTTATGTAATTAAAAGTTTTTTATTTAACAATTAATACATTATCAAACTTATTAGTAATTGTGGTAAAAGTAGACCAGGGTGAGACAGGATTTAATTTGAAATATTGATCTTATGTTGTGTTAACTTAGACTTTTTAATTTCCACAAATTTTTACTGCGTTCGTTGCTCTAAGAAGAGGATACTTTGGTCCAAAATTACCACCAAAATCGTCTTCATTAATAGCCCAGTTCATTACTCCTCCAAGACCTTTCGAACAGACGAAATTTACCTAAAAAAGGGATCAGAGACGTAGGATTAAAGATTAGACATTTCCGTCATTCAGCCTTTATCGTACAAAAACTTTCTAATAAGGTAACTGATCACCTTATACAGGATTTCTAAAAGTACCTATATTTATTTTCCGTTACCTTAGCTGAAATAGATCTCACGTTGTCGTAACCAACCCATTGGTTCCCTGAACATGCAAAAGGGGATTCGTAATTCTGATCATATGCTTCAGCCCATCCTTGCTGGATCTTTTCTAGGATCTGTTATTGATTGAATTAGTTAGAAAAAGTCTTGCGTTAATTATATAAAAATAGTTAACCTCGTAATAAGCTAAATTGCTTGGATCTTGAAGATATGGGCCAGGAATACCTGGGCCGGAGATAGGCGCTCCAATCGAATTATCAGATGAATTACTCAAGGTGTACAACTTTCCATAAAAAGGAATTCCCACGATCAGTTTATCAGGATCAACGCCAGCATTAAGCCAACTGTTCACGAGAAGTTCCTGCAAGGACAATTTCATTTTAAGAGAGTTTAGTTGTCAATAACCACTGCTCTAGTTTTCCGCCGATTGTCTTTGACTTAGTCATTTGAAGACAAAATTTGTATTAACATTTAATGTCGAATGATTTTACTTACTACGCTGATACTTCCAACAGGATCGTGGAGGGGTGCATTTACTCCAGTGGAGCCATCCCAAGATCCATGTAAGTCGTAAGACATGAAATTGATCAGATCGACTGCACTGCAAATGAAATGATAGTATATAACCTTTTGCATTTGCATATTTGCTGTCATACGAATTTCCGATATTAAATCAAACTTGAGCAATCATTAATTTAGATAATGACCATTACTCAAATTCATACTGGATTAATAAAGAATTGATAAGAAGTGACTAACACAAGTTCAATTTAAAATGATATAATGCATGTTTTCCGAGCTTTGAGTACATCCCGTATGATAGCGCTATCAAAGATTCGTGAGATCATATTTCCATCACCGATATGCGAGGTGAAGTCCATAAGTTCGCGGCAGGAAGGGGAAAGGGAGGAGCTAAAAATTTTCACTGTACATTTCGCCAATTAGGAATTCGTCGTTGGTATATAAGTAAAATTTAAAGTCTATGACGTTATTCGTTTAAGAGTTGTCACCCTTCAAACAGGTCAATTCTGAAAAGAAGCGCAACGATTGAGAAAATTGAACACCACGCTGTGATAAAGTTGCTGGCAAAGCAAGGAAAGTCAGTTCAGTTTATAATGAGCGAAATGCAAGCTAAACCTGGGTTCCCATAGGAACCGATGCAATGGTACAAAAAGGGGATACCACCCCTATGAAGCTCAAGGTGGCAGAATCGGCTGGGAAGTGGGAAGAGCTACAGTTTTTGTAGACTGTGAAGGACTTTTGCTAGTAAATTACAAAGAAAATGCTACCACAATTACTGGAAATTACTATGCTCCAATACTGGAAAAATCGAAGGCTTTCATTTAGGAAAAAAGAATAGGAAAATTGTCGAAATATGTGCTGCTCCTGCAGGATAATTCGCCAATGCACAAATACAGTGTTGCGATGGTTTCTCTACACAAACAAGGATTCTATTCTCTAGTTTAACCATCTTGAAATCCAGACTTGGCTCCCACTAGTTTTTATTTATTTCCAGATTTGAAAAGGGAGCTTAGGGGCGAAAATTTTCTAATGACAATGAAGTCAAAAAAGCTGTTTCGGCCCGTTTTGAGGGCAAAAACAAAAAAAAAATTTGTTGGTTTAGAGAAGTTCTAGTCTGAAGAATAACTTTGTGTTTTAGTTTTTCAACACTTTCATTCCGCGAATATCTGAACCTCTTTTCGTAGGTATATAAATTATTTTTCTGTTCTAAAAATGTCATAAACCATTGAATAATTGATTCATGCAGAATCTTAGTCATTTCACAACAATTTTTATGCCACTATAACAATTGTACGTAAATAGGTACAACAACATACTTTGAAAGTGCCGGGACGTCGTAAGCGTCGTCTATGTAAGAAGGTGATGGTTGTACTGCTACTGTAATTAAAAGTCCCAATGGTTCGAAAGCCGCCTTTATTTCTTGCAACAGCGTAATCAAATTATCCTAAATAAAAATCAGTCTGTTATTAATTTGCTATGTAACAGGTGGTTTATTGTTTTTAAACATTATTTGATTATTCGAAGGGTCATTAATGAAACCTTTTGGCCACCACCTCTCATCTATTAACTTTGTGTTTTAATGCAATTCAGTTATTGCCATGTTAGAAATTATACTTAAAAATTAAAAAAACAAATTAATATCATGCACTTTTGGAGGTACCTACATCATAATTTATTATTAAAAGGGTCACTTTTAGGCATCTACTTTTTCGGTTAATTACAAAAAATTGTTGCTGATGTCAGACCCTCATCGGGAATCGAACCCGGAACTTTTGACTTTACGCTCCAATGCTGTGACCATTAGGTAAGCTACAGGAGGTGACAGCAACAACAACGACAAAAGGCGCTTATTAACTTAGCAAATCGGTTAAACTGATTTATATATATATCTCAATGGCTATGAAACATTTCGAAAAATTTTTTCTTTACACTTGATAGAGATTAATGTCTCGATAGCTGTTGAACTCCTATGTGTAAGAATTGGCAATAAAATTAATAGCAATCCATATCTTCTCTGCCCCACTAGAAGTAGAACGCGTTCGAGCAGGATACTCCCAGTCGATATTGAAACCATCAAAATCATAATCGTCTATAAAAGTTGTAGCCTGTTGGATAAATGTTGCTCGTTTTGAGGCATTCGCAGCTACTGCGGAGTAGGCATTAGAATCTTGATTCCTTCCGCCCATAGCAACTAAAAATTTTACTCCAGGGTACTGAGCTTTAAGATTCGTAAAATTTCGGAATCCTCCTAGTTAACAAATGAAGGCTTTTAGAATGCTTGTCCAACCCAATTTTCATTAAATTAAAATTGTCTGTTTGTTTGAAGTTGCAGGAGGAATTTCTGCGTACATCTGTTATTACCTTCCTTGCAATTAAAATTACTACTTATACTGAATGCATTATGTAAAATGTTCTGAATGTAGTAAAGTAATTACAAAACAGTAGACATACCTCGATTCACGTCAACATCAGGATTTAAAATTTCGATATCTTGAGTAACGTTGTTCAATCCAATGAAACTGTAGTAGACATGAGTACATAAGGAAGGATCTATATCATTTGTTCCGAAGCTTCCAATACCTGCCCTCTTTATTGCCCAACTTTCGTAATAGCAGCCAACAACTAATGAGAAAGAAACAAAAGTAAATTAATTTATAACATAGACGTAATTAATTAATCAGAAACTGTTTCTTTTTTACATCAGCGGACTACCAAACGCTAGGATAAATTCAGAAGCAAAGAAATGCATAGGAAGGTGAAAGAATATTTATGAACCACATTGAAAACAAAATTTAATAATTAACAAATAATATGACTGTGCCGTGAAACTAAAAACAAAAACTTTGGTATCAAAGGGAAAATCGATTAGAATTGCCTTTTTGGTAACCTTGTCTTTAAAGAAACATTTTCTTCTATGGATTTGACAATTAAATCATACCAACCTCCACGACTGTCGACAACTGCAGTTAAAGCTGCACCGCACAAAACCAAGTGCAGGAAGTTTTTGACCATTTTGAACAGTTGGTTTGACTGGACCTAAATTTTTTTCGAAGCCTATTTAGTTTTCCTTCATCATTGTTATCTTTTAATTATTAGAACTTTAAGTAGACATCAGATATGAAAGAAGTAGCTAATCCCTTTCACAATTAAATCTGTTTAAATAACTGTAAGATTGCAGATTAAATAAACACACTAAGAATACACGAGCATTTTGTTTCCAATTCCTGGCTATTTTCAAGTAATGATTTACTAAACATTAAAAATACTGTCATCTCATTTTGATTGATCGTTATATCTGCAAGTGGAATTGCACAATAATAACCCAATAAGTCACTGTACTCATTACGTTTCTCCACGGACATATTCGATTCAAAACCTAACAGGCCAACACTAAATACTTCATTAGGCTTGTGTGTAGTTGTAACAGATCGTCTCAAAATATTTTAGTTGAAAATCATGTGCATAATGAGATACGGGTACACAAGTCAGTGTGCTTCCTTCCAATTTATTTTACCCTTTGAAAGTTCGTAAATGGCGATCAAATTATTGGAGTCCTGTTTTAGACAGTAGAGTCGTGGGGTTCATTTGGATTTCCGATTACAGAAGCAACGTTATCAACATAGTCTAGAGCTGTATAATTTTCACAGATCCCCGGAGGTGATTTGATAATGGGCATTACAAAAAAATTTTGCTCTTTTTATGCTGCTCTTTACAGTTTCGTATCAAACAGGAGATGCAATATTTGAATGAGATTTTTATAGAAAAATTAAGAATATTAATCACATATTGTAGAGATATTGAGAAAAGGGTCTAGTTAGAGGATATTCAGGGTAGTACCAACCTTCTTCGGTTACGGGTTTTGAAAATTTTATTATTAGGAAGAAGGTTAGTAGTATTTTCAGTTTAAAAACAATGTTATAGGAAATATAAAATAAATGCTATTAAGAAACTAGTTACAAGATTATGTATTCAGTCGTTCTATCGCTTTCGGACACCGCGCGGTTAAAGGGGCTACTGGGAGAGGGCGTATTAGAAGAGGATGATCGATCGTAGGTACCTGTACTCATAGTCAGACAACCAGTAGACATCTTGTCATCTAATGGGTTAGTAAACGCCTGTGTTTTACTGGTTTGAATGGTATGTAGTGAGTGATCTGAGGATTCGAGGTTCATCTTAGAAGCATTTGAGGTGTAGTGTTATACGAGGATGTTGAAGATACCGTGAATAAAATAAATTAGAGGGTATTGTAAAGAGTGGAACAGTTATGGAAATAAATAATGAGTAGGCGAAATAGGTTGATAGGTCACCTTTTCAGTTATGAAGAGCTAGCTGGAGACAGATACGAGACTTAAGGGGGGTAGTGGTAGACCTAGAGTAGGTTACTGTTCGTAATAGTAGCATGGATGTAAGTTGGTCGAAATTTCAAGAAATTTGACTCAAGAAGAAGAAGAAGTGGAAGTGCGTGTCCAACCAGTTTTCGGACTAAAGATCTTACTGACGATAATGATGGTTTATAACTAATCAGTGTTTGTGATCTTGTTTGAAAGCGCGTTGAGTGAAGAGATGTAATCTGCAATCTATGTATTGTTTTCAGTGACGCTTACAAAAAAACAACATTGATAACCTGAATCATGTCAATCATTTAAAATAATGAACAAATAATATTTATTAACATGGCGAACGAGTAATTTTCCATCGACGATAATAAATATATTTCTTTAATACAGTAATCTTTGTTACGACATTAATGAAATCAAAAAAACAGAAGAAAACTACTACAAAAGCTCAAAATAGAAACTCAAAGTATTGGCGATCAGCGGAAACAGCAAAACGACGAAGAGTCTCATCATCTGGAGATGAAAGTGAAGAAAAGAAGGACACACTATGTATGTATTGTGAGGAAGCATATTCCGTTTCCATTGAAGGGTGGATATTATGCTTACTATGTGGAAGATGGGATTACAATAGCTGCGCAGGAATAGATGATGATGATGATGATGATGACGAACCCACCCATGTCTGCGAGTTCTGCCAGCTCAAATAATCATCTTTCTCATCACCCCATCTTACCTCAGGGGGTATCCCATTTTACCAGCAACATAGGGCAAGGCGGGGCAAAACACCTTTTTTTGAAGTGAAAACTTCTTTAACGACGTTGGGCAATTTTTGGCAGGGGAAAATGTTATGGGTTCGCGTCACCGACATGCTCACGACTGGCGCACGCGCCTGAGTATATCTGTAGCTATACAGCTACGACGATCGATGCGGTTTTTACTCGATACTTTGATAAATTTCAATCAAACGTTTTCATTTCTTACTTTAGTTACCATAAGCCTATTGTATTTTTTTAGAACACAATGAAATAATTGAAAGTACAAAAAGTCTAAGAATTGTTGAAATTAATGATGACAATGATGCAAACAATGTTAAAAATCAAGTATATTGAAATTTATGTAAATATTTGAATAATAAAAAACCATATAAACATGCATATAATTGTTGCTCGGAGTGTCAATAGATGTGAAAACCAGATTGATGTTGATAATTTTTATTCAAACATTGTGAAATTTCAAATTTTAATACTAAAAGTTCTAAGTTTTCACTTCTATCGGCAGTCCCTATAACTGCCAATTTTTTTTATGGATACGCAAGATCAAAATGAATACATTATACGTTATAGCATTAATATTAATAATATTTATTAATTTTGTATATACGCGAACACTTCGCATTAAGTAGAAAATCTCAGTAACGAACACGGTCGTTGCTGTTATTTTAAAGATTTCTCAAGCATGCGCAAGGTGTCATCTTCAAATAAATATAGTCAGCACCGTAATAGCAGAGCATTCTTTCCATACCTACTGTCTGTATAGGAGTATTACATACTAT